TGGAAGTTGAATGGTTTACGGACTACTTGATTTTTCCTCAGTAGTCCTGTCGCGATGGCTAGAGCACAGACGAGCAGAACGCCCTAGGACTAAGCCTTGGAGTGCGCAGAGGGTTTAATAGGCTGATTGTGAGTTCAATTAGTCCGTCGACCAAGTTGAATAAGCTGTGAATAATAGCTTATTAGACATTCACAAATCTCAATGCAAAGATGCGCCATCCGTCCAACCTTTCCTCGGTATCACAGTTTTTGATGAATACCTACGTTGACTGCACATGGTGCTGCGGTTAAATGGATGGGAATGAAAACTTTGGCTAATGAATTAAATGGCACTATTCAACTATTACAACCCCAAAATCTCAAAATTTTATTTTTCGTCGAAACTTCGCCTATAGGGGTAATTCGATGCCCTGATTACGAAAATGACATTCATTTTTGGCGCTGGCGCCATTGGCGCCATTGGCGCCAGTTTGGCGCCAGGGCTGTTTTCACCAAATTCGCTGTAAACTTGTATATAGGGGTTATTTGGGGTCCTGATTACGAATATAACATTCATTTTTCCCGCTAGCGCCAGTGGGCGCCTGTTTTCCGCTCGTCTGCGCCCTCTCACTGATCAGCTCGCGATCGGGACTAAGCCTTTGAGGAGGGGAGTGCTCCGAAGTGAATAACACTTATCCTGTGATCTTATACGCTTTAACGTTTGCCACATGTTGACTGGTTCACCCACCCCGGAGTCCTCCCTCCTTCTAGGCTTAGTCCTAGGTATTATGTACAAGTGAGAGGGCCCAGGAAAATGGAAAATGTGCGTTGAACGGTGGAAATGCTAAAAACGAATGACATATCCGTAATCAGGACCCCAAATAACCCCTATATACAAGTTTACAGCGAATTTGGTGAAAATAGCCCTGGCGCCAAATGGCGCCAGCGCCAAAAATGAATGTCATTTTCGTAATCAGGGCATCGAATTACCCCTATAGGCGAAGTTTCGACGAAAAATAAAATTTTGAGATTTTGGGGTTGTAATAGTTGAATAGTGCCATTAAATTAGTAAACTGAACCCACCTTCTATCTTCCCACACAAGTTCCGAAAACTTCTTGACCTGTCGTAGTCTACACGAACTATCGGATAAGGACCAGCTCCTAAATCTTCCTCGCCTCCCCATACTGAAAGAGCGCCTCAATAAGTCACCAAATAATACCAAGGTGAAGCTCGGGTTCGGGGGGCCACGCGATGGCGCGGCGCTGTTTTCGTCTGCTCTACCAAGGCTTAGTCACCGATGGCGCGTATTTTGAAACTGCCACATAATGGCGAAAGAGTAACTGGAGGAGCAGACGAACAGAGCGCGCCATCGCGT